TATTTTCCTTCTGAAGGTTATATCTGGTGCTTTTCATCATAACTCTAGATACCTATTCTCACTGCAATATATATAATGATGGGAAAAGGTAGTACTGTATAGAGACTGTACAGTGGTACCTGTTTAACAATCAGTATATTGAAGTGAAGAAAGACACTTGCTTTGCAAGTGTTATTTGGCACAGTCTACATTCACTTTTGTACTTGTATTTCTTCGTCCTCAACGTAATATACATACGATCCATGTACCTGAAAAGGAAAACATTTATATACCAAGAGGTGATCATGCACCAGGAGTTCCTAGCCTCTAAGGTGCAAGTTCTTTCAGAGAGAAGGTAAGTCAGGTCTACACGCCAGGTCTAACTGCGCATGCAGAGAGATCTGATTTATGAACGTCTGACCACTTTACTGCTGTTCTGCGACGACGACCATTCAACTGCACTTTGTGAGGTTTCCATGATCAGTGCAAGTTGTTGAAATCGAGACGTCTGGCTTCGATGCAGAATGTTAGAAGATCATCTAGGAACAAGCTCCGTCATGGGAAAGTAAAAGCTTGACTATGGCTATGTGCTTGTGTGAAGAACCCCGGGCACGGGTTCCTGGAGTGGAACAGGGCAGCTACGAGCATGTAGAAAGTAGGATTTTTTTGGGGATTCGTAGCCCGTGGCCAAAATTCTTCAGAATCCAACGAAATTCCTTCGTATGTTTTGAAATCCAGTGAGTGATAAACCGTCTTATCCACCTCGTTCTCTCTACATTGTTTTCTTGCTCGCAAAATCAACTGCAGTTGCCACGAAGTCTCACTCGCCAAATCACTAAGACGTGGCTAAAACTACTGATCATTCCTCTGTCAGGGTAGGTTTGGATATTAGGTGATCTATAGATCTTAATAACGATAGATTCGACAGGTCGATTTGATATTCATTCGGAAGGAAGGTCGACGTGGTGAAGAACAGGACGCAGGGGCTTCGAAATTTGAAGTGTATTGCTTTTGGCATAGAAAATAATGAAAATCAGATGATTAGGACTGCTGAATACTGTTCAGCAGAGCATTCATCACCAGGAACGCGAAACATGGCCTCTGTTTGACTGGATGTTCGACTATCTGAGACACTGTTCTGTGACACAAACAGTTGGTGGTTAATAATAATGTGTGATACGCTTGAGAGAAGGAAACTCTGTGATCTATGATGTGAGGAACGCGGTGACGTTGGCAATCATTGACCACATTTATCCTTCCTGAAATGCAGCACCTCTGTGACTTCGCTAATCGAATGGTCTGGGTTCAGAACTGTACAATATTCCAATACCTTGGAGGAATCCATTTAATTATGTCTTATATGAAGTTGATCACAAGACCAGAAGTAAGGGGAATTGACTTTGGCATAGAAAATAATGAAAATCAGATGATTAGGACTGCTGAATACTGTTCAGCAGAGCATTCATCACCAGGAACGCGAAACATGGCCTCTGTTTGACTGGATGTTCGACTATCTGAGACACTGTTCTGTGACACAAACAGTTGGTGGTTAATAATAATGTGTGATACGCTTGAGAGAAGGAAACTCTGTGATCTATGATGTGAGGAACGCGGTGACGTTGGCAATCATTGACCACATTTATCCTTCCTGAAATGCAGCACCTCTGTGACTTCGCTAATCGAATGGTCTGGGTTCAGAACTGTACAATATTCCAATACCTTGGAGGAATCCATTTAATTATGTCTTATATGAAGTTGATCACAAGACCAGAAGTAAGGGGAATTGACTTTGTCCATTCCATGTCAGACTACGACCCTTCACATTATTATGATGGGTCGTAACCTAATCCTTATAGCAGGTCATAAACGGAGATTCTAAAGAAGTATGTAGAGATAGCTGGTAGAGCAATGACTTCAAGCTCACGTGGGTTTCCCATGAGAACTGAAGATTCTGTCCAGATTCCTAGATCAAAATATCAAAGCCATATCAATAAACGAAAGAATGTCAAATGTTCCGCGAAGGCCTTCTTGTTCGTATGGAAGTAACATGAATTGCGAGAAGCGACCGCCGATTCAGTGTTCTGGTGCGAAGTGTTTAACAACGGAAATAGAGGACATTCATTTCCAGCTCATACTCAAAACATGATGTGGCAAAGTTCTAATCATGTGCTTGCCGCCAGTATTATCACTTTATGCCGGCTATTTCAAAGCTGTCAGGAATTTACTTCCTTCAACTTTTCCGCTACAATATCAACCAGCATGTGTAGATCAGTATCCACTGAACTAAGACGTGATGACTTTCATGTCACATGGAGAAAATACTTCGTTCGAGGCGCCAACCAGTTGAGTTCATTCAATAAGTCGTAAGATACTTATTGTTTTCCCATGCTTCTACATGCCACTCACATGGATGCAGCTAAACTATCCTTTTGATCCTTGTCGCTTTCCTGTAAGAACCTTCTAGTCTCTAGTCCGCAAGGCAGTCACAGAAGTTCCCAACCAATGCATCGATTGCATGCCAATTAGCTCACAAATAGTCAAACAAGAGAAGATCTTCCTGAATTTCAGGATATAATCATGTACATCAAATGGTATGGGATGCTTGTTCTGGTTTTCTGAAGAGGTAAATGTCAAACATGTCGAGGAATTTCAGGGGCTTTGAGTTTTCAGATCAAAACAAATATCTCTCACTTCTCAGCGATTAGAGGTATAAGCATTGCGAAAACTGGACTCGTTCGTGAAGCTGAAAATTTCGGGGCGTAACCTGAACACCATATAGTGGACGGGGTGAAAGCACGGTCGCAGTGATGGTCAGCACCATGAGCTTCTGTCAAACTACTTGCTTAATCTGGAGGGTCAGCGTTTGAATGAAGATCGGGAGTGTGATAAGAGAAACAGTTGGATTTGGCTGACTGCGAACTGAATCGGGGTGATTTTCACTGACAAATTCATATAGAAGAATGAGGTTTCGAATTTTACGCAACACCGAAACTTGTAAATCGAATCTCTTATTCATGATCATTCGATAGCAAGCTACTGTACATATGAAGCTCATGATCTGGACGAGGTTAAAGATATCGCATGTGCATAAGCTGGTCCGCAGGTTCATAACAGGGATCACCGATATCAAATCATTATCCCGTCACTTAATCAGCTGAATTTTGAGGAGTCCAAGGTTGTTGACAGAATTACTGACTATCTAACTAATTTCCCCCGCAATCCATCCATCTCTTGATTTTTTTCAGCTGCTCGACTCGTCGTTGTAAAGAAGATTGACAATGAATGGCAGACGACCATCACAGAGTTCAACCATCTGGCCATATATCTCCTTGTCGTCATTATACGTCAACTGCGTTTTATTCACCGAGCACCACCAAATAGCAAAGGGAGGAACTCGCGTTGTTGGCAACTCGATGATAAATTTGGAGTGTCATTCATCGTCGTTCACCGATACCTTGGTTTTCATGTGCACGTCCGACGTAACAAGCATAAATCTCCAGGTTTAAAATGATGCAAGTCATTCTGAGTCTTTGTCAGTCGTTTCATTAATGTGCATGCCTCCTCCAACACGCTGTGGTTGAACGAGGTCAAAAGGGAAAGAGAGGAACCTGCAGATTGGATCGGAGAAGATAGGCAATACGTTCATCCTATCATAGGCAAGCCATTTGTTCGTCCACCGGCGTTCCCCCTTTACCATTAGACCGAACATGCAGCTCAACCATGCGAGAGGATGACAAAATTCCGAGACGTTTCATTGATACCTTGAGCTGCAAACTCAGGCAGGAGTGTCATCCACAAAATCATCAAGAGCGATGTGGTGGCCAATCTCGAACGAGGATATCTGAGACAGATCCCCTCGATCAGAAGAACGTTCCGTCATCAACAGCTTGCAATCGATCGAATGTCTGTCAAGTTGTAACTTCAATTAAATCGGATAAAGCGGTAGAATGTGTGAAAAGTGCTGACAGTGCGGGAACAGACATGTTTAAAGTCTACATTGTAAATCTGCCCAACGATTATGCACCTGGAACTGAAATACGGTCGAAGTCCGGTAAAGGCATGAATTCACCTCCCTGTAACAATTGCACTCTCCCCATGCCCTTTATACTATTTTCTGCTTCCGGCAGAGTGTGACGCAGAAACCCCATGTTCCTCTGCGCTCGACATGTAAGCTACAGGTTGGTATAGACTCCCCTCAGTCCATCGTCAGCATCGAACGTCTTCTTCATGAGAAGCACCGTCGGTAACGAGCCTTTTCGCTGGTTCAGTGGGGGACTCTGAGAAAAGTCAGCTCACCAGTCATACGGAAGTTCCTGGCTTCGGGCCCTTCAACTGCCTCATCCCTGAGGCAGTTGGAAAGCCGCAAGTGCTCGTGATCTTTCTCTGGATACTTTTATCGTACATCAATGAGTGGGTTAGCAGATTCGTTTTCTTGCCATAGGATGATTAGTTTTCACCACTGATAGAAGCCACTGTCTGATGGGAGTTAACTAATTCACAATAAACGTCAGTGACTTCTAATGATGCCACTTCTTCTTCGATCAAGTGATTGCTCGTTCCACCACGTAAGACGTCGTAAGGCCTTTGCCATCTGCCAGGATATGACCATGGCAAAACTTTGCTCACTCGAAGACAAAGAGTAGAAGCCTGAGAAGTGCCGGGAGGTGATGTCGCAGGTCTGGAAATGAAGTGCGCAGTGGACTCTTGTAGACCAAAGTGGACCAAAGACTGAACTCGCTGGATGGGTTGTGGTGGACACTTTGCTCCTTCGTCATGCGATTGAACTGTCATAAAGGTATCGCTTGGCTCTTCATAGTGAGTTAAGTCTACAAACAACATGCCAAGATGGCCTCCACGCATGCATTTGGAGGCTAATAGTGTACTGAGACTGTAGAGATAAATCATTCTGGTGGTCTTCATGGCATGAAAGAGCATCTGGTCAAGACTGTTTTGACTTTATGAATCTGAAGGATATAAGGATTTGATTACACATGAATAGACAGTTATACGGCTCCGTGCGAGGGAATGTTTGAGATGAATTAGTTTTAACGTAACCATGACGGCGTCACGTACATCTTGCTCTGGGTGTCACCAAATCTCTATGATGACGCTTCTGGTTTAGTAACTAAAAGCTTATGATCTAATTAACATATCATCAGCTTTTAACGATAAAATCCTAAGACTATTGCTTCAGAAAGATAGTTTGAGAATGAAGTGTCACTCATCGTCTACTTGAGACTGAACACGACAACGGTAAGGTTCGGGAGGCCATGGCAACTACATAAGTTGTGGTACAATAAATATCTTTGACAATCACGTCAGGGGCTCTACATCTCTAAATCTACCCTGGTGGCATCTTGCACGAATAAGTCTACCTTGCTATCGCCTTCCTCATGTCTTGCCACGAGATCATTAAAGCCATCTTGACTCGTATCATCTTGCAAACTTGGAACTTTTTGTACAAAGTGGAGTTTAATATTCACTGTTGTGTTATGAGACGGCATGGAAAATACACGTTTCTAGGATCCTCAGTGTCTTGGAGCTGCTTTCATGTTGTATCTTCTTCATGTTCTATCTGCTTTCATCTTCTTCATCATGTCAGAGGCAGCAATGATCAACGAGACCTAATCTGAACTAACAACTACAGTCGAGAGCGAGGTGTGCCTACGACCTCTCGAGAATGTGCATCTTTCAGAAATAACGGATGCACTCGAGAGAATTCGAGAAAAGAAAGAATAAACGAGCAGAAAAGAAAAACTGATAAGAACTAAGATGGGCGAGACTACGATCTGAGAAAGTTCTGGCCCCACTCTGCCGTCCACCGTTTACATGGCCGTGCACATGAACGTGGGCCTACAGCACTTTCATGATTGAAGGAAAAAGCAGCGGCTGAGCAGAACTTTTACGTGGACGGGGCTTGGACTCTCGGGGACTGGGATCTTCAATGCGACTGTAGAGTCCAGAGTATGACCAAAACCTCGATGCGCATGGCGAGTTGACCAATTCACTTTTGCACCTAATCGTTGGAGGGCGTGTTCTGGTGGAACCAGTCGAATTTGTACTGGTACCAGTTGGCGGCGATGAGGAAGAAGACAAAATCCACCCCCAGAAGAATGGCCAGAAGCCAGTAGAACTTCGCTAGGCCTCCATGGTTCAGCTGGTCGGTCAGCCATCCACCTCCCTGCATCAGATCAAGCACTGTCGAGTCAATCATGATCAAAGGGAGCGCAGGGAGTGAAAGCTAGAATTGTACGATTGGTGGTTGTCACGTGGAGTCACAATTGCTCAGAGCGCCCCAGGTCCCAGGCTCAGACTCAGATTATGGGGCGAGATTGGAGCCTGATCCAGAACACAGCAGGAGTACGGCTGCACGAGTCACCGACCCTCGATCACCACAATGCACTCGAAGATGCTGCAAGAGATGCATGGAGATCCACCGTCTCGTGCTCATGGGGTTGCGAACCCGACTCATAAACAATGCAGCTCAATTGCAATTGAAATTGCAATTGCATCGAGGGGATGGGAGAGACTCGTACCTGGCCATTCTTGGTGGCGCTGTTGACGAGGTCGTTGATCACGGAGCTCAGGTAGTAGCCCATGGCGGAGGCGGAGTACGTGAACGAGCTGGCGATGCTGCGGGTCTGATCCGAGGCCTCGTAGTAGAAGAATTGGTAGGAGGAGAGGTAGTAGAACATCTCGACCTGGGCCGCCAGGATGAATTGGGGCAGCAGCCACCACATGCTCATGGGGAGGTCATACGAGCCCAGAGGCAGATCCTCGAAGCCCAGATCGCGGACGACAGTGACACGCTTGCGCTCGACCAGCGCAGCCACGCACATGAGCAGAATTGCGCAGACGATGGACACTCCGAGGCGCTGTAAGCAGCTGAGGCCGTAGGGATGCTTGGTGAATTTCCGCACGAGCGGCACGAACAGGCTGTCGTAAAGCGGGACGGTGCATAAAGAGATGAGGACGAAGATGGCCGACAGCGACGCAGCCGGCACCTCAAAGTGCTCGCCCCACTTTCGGTCCAGTGTCGCGCCCTGGGTCACGGTGTAGGTCACTAGCTGCGAGAAGACGAGCGACACGCAGCACGTCGTCGCCCAAATCGGCAACATCTGCAGAATGCGCTTCGTCTCCTCCACCTGCGTCACGCCGCACACTCGCCATCGGTCCTTCGTGTCGGCCGCCCCCTTCTGCACCACTGCCGCCTTGTCCAGAAACCTGCCCATGTCCACGCGCATCCTGCATCAGCTCTATGCTCTACGATCGCTGCTGTGCCATTCGGCCTATTCGCTAATTCAGGCTCAGCCTGACCCGAGCCTGCGCACCATGCACCTCGATTCGATTGCAGCCCTCGGTCTTTGCAGCCCTGTCTGAAAATGTTCTGAGCAGCGAGTCTGATATGGATCACAGAGCCCTCTGTCCGTAGACTTCGATCGGATTTTGCTCGAAATAGAACATTAACTGAAGTCATTCTGCAATCGAGCGAATACAGATATACAGATACTCCATTGTAGAAGAAGATCTGGTAGGTCTACATCTGCAGTCATCGAGCTCATGCTGCGCGTACGTGCTGCTGCTTATAGCGTAGCTGATTCGTTCATGCTTTACCACGACGATGGGCGAGACCTTCCCCGTTCGATCCCGATGTGATTCATCTACTCTGCTGAATTGACGAAGTAAAATTGTGAAAACCGAAAACATTTTGCGGGAGGATTAATTCATATGTACCTCAATTTGTCCGTATGAGCGAGCTTTCTGCTGCCGGGAAGATAAGAATCGAACAGCAGCGACGGATCGTCCGGGGCATCGACTTTGAGATTACGGAAAGCAGCCACAACGACTTGCGCGACACGGGTGAGGAAGCTTCCGGCCGGAGCTTTGTGTCTGTACTTGGGAGTGCCGAGGAGGAAATAGCAAGCGCATAGGCTGAAGACCATGAGGCTGAAACCATAGCCCCAGCCGAAGCTCACGTTCTCCACGAGATACACGCCGAACACGAAGGTCAACAGAAATCCCATATTCGTGGTGAAGTAGAACCAGACGTAGTAGTGAATGCTCTGCTTCTTCTCCAATTTGGAGTTATCGTCGAACTGGTCCGCACCAAACGATGCAATGTTGGCTCGCATTGCTCCTATTCCCACGGCAATAATGTAAAATGCTAGATACACCGGAGCCATGAACTTGGCTCCTGCTGGACTGCACTCCACCGTCGCTGACGGTGTGCATTCTGGAGGTTGCAAGCCTGAGTATGAAACCGTGAACGTCAGCAGCCCCAGTCCCTATGGTCAATTGCAATACATATTCAAGAGGTCAATGTCTGTCTACCCAAATGGAAACTCACATCTGCAGCAAGACGATTCACTAGCACTGCCTCAATTTGCAGGCAATCGGGTTCTCGAATTGCCTGCTCGATTCATCTGAGGCACGAGGTTGAGTCCATAAAATTCAGATGACAGAGAGACTGTTTCAAGGGTCTGGTCGTCTTCTGACGATGCCCATCATCTTCGTAGAGTGCTAATGGCGGATCCAGATCAACAGAATTACCGTGGCAAATATCGCAGCGCCCGCTGTGATGGTCCAGTACGCACCCAAATAGCTGTCGGCCACGAATCCTCCGAGCACTGTGAGGATGTAGCCGGTGCCTGAGAGCACATTACTGGCCGTGGCGGCATCCGTGATGCGCATGTGCGTGCGATCAACGAGGTACGGGACGCAGTTGATGATCACCATGATCGACGCTTGAAAATCGGCGAAATTCATGGCTGCAGGCAGAAAATCAATTCAGACGGCATCGTCAGATCCGCTTCGTGGACCGAGTACTTCAAAATGTCCAATTTCGAGCCGCACGTGATATTCGAAACACAGCAGCTGCCAACAGTTCATTCAACAAATCATTCCGTCTCGTGCTCAGAGCATAAGTCTGCAAGAGCAGCTAAACGCTTTATCTTAATCAAAACCTTCGTCACAGCTACGAGAAGATGTGAACAGCCAACACATTCACATGGGGCATTTGATGTAGACCGCGTAATTTGCTGTCGACAGCAAAAATCTTCATCGTTGCTGCTGATCACAGCCGGAATAAACCTTTTGGATTTTCCTATTGAGACTTGTGACCTAACCTTGTCCGTCCTCAAAACCAGACAGTGCATCCTTAGAGATTATCAGGTGGACAATCTGAGTAGAACTGTTTCCAGAAGATGTAACTACTCAAGGTCATCAGATTCAGGGACGTCATGAGCAAACGACATAGATTGATATAATATGGCGAGGACTGTCGCTGAGAATGGTTTGGTATCTCGACACAAATTCTCGAATGGGCATTGCAATCTCTACTGTGAGCAAAGGTTTCAGGAAACTTGCCGTACACGTGTGGCGCTGACTTCCATGCTCCCGTTTTCGTAAAATCAACTGGACGTCCTCTGAGATCCATGACTCGATATCCATCTTCGATTTCCGTCTGCGCAGGAGGCGTATCTCCACCCAGTGAATCTTGTTCCCTTAGAGGAGCAGAGCCGTTCTCCATACCCTTCGTATTACAAAGCAGGCAAGCAAAGCACAGTCAGTAGACTCAGTAATCGACCTCATGCAGCACTTTCATTGCAAATGTGCAAAATCACAGACCGGTGATTTCAGAATTCGTTTATCACTAAACCTTCTGGTTCTGGAGTAAAGGCTCATCGATTGGAAGAGTGCATCCCGAACCAACTTCTGAGACCAAATTATCAAAGCAACTATTCGCAGTTCAGGAACTCGCACAACTCAGACACAATCTGCGGCTGTGCTTGCTGGCCATTGCTGTCCATCTCAACTGGTCCCGATTGCTCACACACAACGATGTCGGGCAACACTTCCAAATCAGCTGAATTCTGTGCACAGGAAACTAACGTTGTTGCTGCAGCACACAATCGACCACATGAATACGTAAATCATGTTCCCATGAAAGGATGCAGGTTTTGATACGTACCATTGATATCGAGCACTGGAGAGGTTTATCGCATGCTACAGGAACGTGGAGCGACTGAGTTCTCTGCAGTGTTGTCGGAGTTCGACTTTATAGAAACGTCGGCAAAGAATCAATCGGACTTCGTTGCCATGTTCCTTGATCCCAGCTGTTGTATCTGGGCATTCCATCCACGATATGCGGAGTGAAAATCGCCTGTTGGATAACGTCCATTTCATGAATGTCGCAAGAGAGTCAAAACTCGAGAGTCCAGCACTTCGTGGCTGAGAGATGGGCGCAGTTGCCGAAGATACAGGAGCGCACGAGTCAACGAGATCTAGAAAGAATCCACATTTCAGGCCACAACGTCGACAGCAGGTAAGCCTCGGCTTACATGGAGGGCAAAAGAAACTCGAAGCTCCAATTATGTCTGCGTCTTTCCCCGCATGATTTCCGGTACTTTTTCCTAGAGCTCCTCCTGTTCTCCTGTTCTCGTAGGCCTTGCTCAATGAAGGAATAGGTAGGTCACTGTCTACGTGTCTCCGGCGGCCTTTACTGCGTCCGCTGGATTCCTCCTCCATCACAATTGCCTCATATGCCAGCACGAGTCTTGTTCTAGCTCAGGATTTGTCCCCCATAATAGCTTCATGTCCCTTCACTTAAGAGAGAAGTAGCCAGTTGAGGCAAGTTTGGGATGAGATTGCATCTCCAGTTTTGGGGCGGCAAGGCATTCGTTGATTATTTATGTGCATACTGATGACCATTGTTTGGCGACCGACGAACAGCAGGAGCAAGCGGCTGACAGATGTTCACCGAATCCTTGCCTATTACGTCGCAAAGCATTGCGGTGCGTAAGAATGTCACTGCCCTGTCCTTGAGAGATGAAAAGATGCATGGCAAGGTAACTTTGGAATTGCTTTATCTTCAGTTCCTTTCATATTTATTACAAGAAAAGTGACCATTCAATACGATCTTTAGCGCTTCTGTCCTATAGCAAATAACTTGCCGTCCATTGACCATTCTCACCATGATTCACCATTCTCTGATGTGCACAAATAAATATCACGACAGCATGGGGCCTAATATCCAAACGAGGAAAGCATGCGAAGCGAAAATGCTGCGAAGAAAAAAGAGCTGATTGTATAGCAGAGGGTCAACCATGTGTTCCGGATAGTTTCTCACTATAAAGAATGTCAGTTCTGTCCATAAACTCCACCAATGAATGCACCAAAAAGCAGGAATGGTAGGAAAGATCGAACTGGCACCAGTGGTTGATGAGAAGGTGACAATGTTATGGCCCCTCATGACGTCTTCACGCAGAATGATTCAAACTTTCTTGCTGATATTTCACAAGGCGATTGAGATCTTTCGTGACTGCTGCTAATGGAACACTTCAGTTTGAAAGTAGGAATACTAAACTTGTTCCTTAAAGTAGATATTGTTCACATTATTCCTTGACGGTCGAGTGTTGAATATGTTTTCTGTTTAAGTAGGACCCAAAATATCCAAAATTCTCAAAAGAGTTTTGGAGGCTGAACTTGGATGCGCGAAACTCCAGACGAGGGGATTTTTCGCTTTCCTCAACAGCAGAAGAAAAGGATTAATTTGGACGGGTGGAGAACACTTTTGGTGGGGCCCAAGCCGCCCTTCTCTTTGCAAGACTGATGTCCTCTCCTGTGCTCTTTCTGAAAGTCGGAGGATATGTGCGAAATCCAGCAGTAAACAGAATGAACTGTTTGCCTTCCTCGGATTAGCAAAAGGCATGCACCGAATTTTCGAACTTAGGCCACCAATTTTCGTGCATGTTGAAGGCGTCACATGCCCTCATCCTTCTTTATATGCTTACGTGCTAAGGTCTCGAAGCTATGGCTGGACTGGACATGTTTACCGTCCAATGTTTGCGTGTGCCCTCGTTGCTACTTTGCTTCTCGAGTGCAGTGTCTACAACCTCGTATCGAGCAGCAGGTCTCTCTCGAGTACATACGTATTTGTGAGAAGTAATGATTCGAACACGCTCGAGCAGGTTTATGATTATGCAACAGAAGGATAAAATAATGGCTCGTAGGCTCTTTAGGTGCAAGTTCACTTTTGGAAAGGTCAGAGAGGGCGGGAGTTGCTGCACCTCAGCTCGAGCTGCAGGCAGATTCGATCTCATGCTTTCTGACTATTTCGACACTGTTCCTTTTCCACGCAGCTCGGCTTCTGTGCGTCTTCAGGCCACGGTGTTGAAATCGAGATGGCATGAATTTACGTAGACATCAGCATCTCCATTATGCTCGTTAACATCGACCACGAGTTAACAGAGACGAAGACGAGACCAATGGCTGCACTACAGGAGAATGTGTGTTGTGTATTCATATTGTTGTGATGTTCGAGCTCATACGGTCCATCCTCTCTCTTGATGCAGATTTGAGCTCGGAGCTACTGTCAGAGTAACACTTCGATGGAGAAGATGAATGTGTCTTGAATGAACGACGATTTTCGCTATAAATGGGGAAGAGCGAGCTCAGCAATGACATTCTTGCATTTGCATACACATTTACGTGAATACATCATAATAGTAAGCAATTAAATGGGTTTAGTTCAGTCCTTTGGAATGAAAGTATTTGGATAAGTCATGTCGATAATGCATAACCAGTGTCTAACTATGATATATATTGGAGACGGTATAAGTAGCAAACTTTACAAGAGTGCATCTACATTTTTTAAATAAATCTTTTCAAATATATACCATGTCACTATCCACATTTGAAGTGTAATTATTGGCTAAATCTTACAGTCATACATATACAGCTAACTAGTATTATTGCAAGTTGTATGTAAAATACTATATAATTTCATCAGTGTGACAGAAGAAGATGGTATTCATGAACCTATACAATGTACTTAAAACTTATTGATAAGGTACAGTTTCACCAACCAAATGTACCACATAATGTGTTTTATTTCCAAACTCACAATTTTCCTATATCTGTAAAAATATATCGAAATTGAGCCAATGTCGTTTTTGCGGCATAAAACATTACGTTTTATCTTTATTTTTGAATCGTTGTCAAAACCAACCCCAAACTCCAAAATATTTGCTCTTTCAAGAAAATATTTTGAAACTCTAGGTCTTAAATAGTCATTCTTAAATCATAGTTCTTGCGTTACTCAAGTAACTGCAATCACACCAACTCCATTATTTAATAGAATAACGTGTTGTGTTCGCTCTTATACGTCCATCTTATATATTACAGCATATAAGGTAGACCGTGTTGCAAATAAGGCGGTATCTAAGTTATAAAACTAAAGACCTTGTCAAACTAATCTATTTTATAGGGGGACCGTGTAGCAATGAAAGCTATATCTAAATTATAGAACTGAATACATATTGGCAAAGTCTTTCACGTCATTTGGCCTCATCGCAGCATCTTTCATGGATGGGGCCAAATGACGTGATATCTTCAGTTCTACAATTTAGATAAGGCCTTATTAGCTACACGGAATGCGTTACATCATATATGCTTATTATATAGTAAGGATTGTAGATTTATTAGGAAAAAAAATAGAAGATAAATTCTTATATGATATGAATCAAACAATGAATATCTCAGCGGTTTCATTGATTTATCTACTTACGAAACATCTAGTTTTCAAGGTTGATTTCAAGAATTTTATGATCTTAAACTTGGATCTTACGCGCCCCTGCGAACATCTGCATTCATCCATTTACTCGTGTAGCAAATAAGGCAGCAAATCTAAATTGTAGAACTAAAGACATATTGTCGGAGTCTTTCATGTCATTTGGCCCCATCCATGAAAGATGCAACTTGTCAGATAATGTCATATGCCGACTTTGATGTACATAATCTTTCTCCAACCACGATTTTACGGTGTTTAAATCGACTATTATATTTCTCTACCGCAAGTTCCTTCTCCGTTCTCACGAACGACCTAGCTATATTCATAATACGCCTGGTTGCACCCATGCTCGTTCACTGTATACAATAAGAATATAGCAGTTTGATTTTGTCTTCTTTATATACGAAAAATTTTACGAACTCAGTCCTAGAAACGTTGTACTTCGTACCTACGACCGTTTACAATGTAAATTATTCTTGTAATGATTCAATGATATATAGAGCATTTATTACTTAATCAATATTTATTCTTCTAAAATTTGAGTTGAAGCTATACGTCGAGCTGTAAGATAAATAGTGAAAACAGTCATGGAAAAAGTGTCTGGATGTTAAACAAACCAGGATATTAGTCATAGAGGGGTCTGTTGTAACAAAATTAATCCTTGTAACGCCGAACATTCAATTCCAGAGCAAATCGGAGTCTTTGGTACAATGGGTGACTGCTTATGTGATATGGTTAAGACCATGTCATGTATATTGCTATGAGCTTGGCAAAAGGTGCGCTTTCGGATTGTTTCGATACTTTGTTTACTCTGATCTTCTTTTAGACAAGTAGACTTATTAGAAATATTTCACGTGTGCAGATTATACGAGGGATCCAAGTTATATCAGCAAAAGTGTGCTCTACTGTCCTCACAATTTCTTTCAGTACAGGTTATTCGAACTTACCTTGGAGCTTCGATGGGGTGTGGCTTAAACCCTCTCACTACGTTCCAAATTTTTTATGTCATGCATAACTTAGTCCATCCCTCGTCTGCTTTCTTTACTGAATATGGAGAGGCCTTTTGGCTGACGATGAGGTTGTGGACAAATCCTGTCAGCGTATTGAAGACAGTTATAATTAATATAACGTCAATTTTCAATATATCCAGATTGAAAATTGTACATGTATAGACCGCCATACAAAGGACGTATTGTACAATAGATAGTGAATGTGTAGGAGAATCATAGAGAATGTTTTATCCAAATTTTCCTACACAAAATGTCCCAGACTATGAGGATATTTCTATCCTCTTGTTCTCGAGGCTATTCGAAGTTGCTGCTCTAGATCTCTCTAGATTTTAGTCTTTAGGTTTAGATTTTTGTTTTGTTTAGGTTTAGATTTTTGTCTCGAATAACGCATCTCGTACTTGCTGAATGCCAAGATGCCCACATGCGCCTCATTTAATCTTAGCTGCAGTATTTACGAAAGTGAATAGAAATATGAATAGAACAGTTAAGTTTTTCATCTATAGATCGTGAGATCGATTTTCACTCGTGTGCAGTTTCAGTACTCTGAGCGATTTTTAATCAGATCTTTATTGCAGCTGCCCCTCATGTCTGCAACCTTAGTATATCGTATGTTTGCAGGAGTTCTTCGAAACGTGGACATGGCTGCAACAGATACTATTCTAAGATTGGAGTCCGCTGCCTGGTCCAGACACAGTGAGAAATTGGAACTGTGTAGCTTGAAAATACAAGGAGTTGAAACTTGGAAGAAGATCGCATTCCTACGCTGGCTAGTTTAATCCTTGGGTAGAAGCTCAAGTCCGTGTGGATTTGACAGCACTTGTTAATTATGTCATCATTATCAGTGAGAGGTCCTCCAAGCTCTGATGGCGTAAAAAGAAGACAATTTTGAGGATTAACTTGCCTGTAGATGCTCACTTATTCGCGGCAGTTTCATGTTCCTGTTGGAATATGAAAAGCCTGCAGTCGTGAAACTTTGGCCTCCAATGTGCACAATATTCTTGGCAATGGTATTCACACCTATGCAGCATGACCAAATCAGGTCCAAGAATCACTTCAGACAAGAAAAATGCACATCCAAGCGACAACAAATTCATTTGTTGTTTTCAATATTGTCTGCCTTCAACCTGTGACTGATGTGATACAGAGATTCACATACTATGGCAAATAAGCTTCTGCGTGTGCAAATTACTGAACATCACTCCCATGCAAATCAGAGATCCCCCATCGGATGGAGTCAGCTTTCTCTGAAGTGATTAAAATATCTAGTCATGCTTCTCGAGTTCCATATGGAACCAATTTTGATCCATTACAAGGTCCTGGGGGCGTCTGACTTTGCCTTGACTCGGCAGGACCAGGTGTAGTTTTCGTTTGTTGAGGTCTTCAGCTGAGATAAGTCGATAAGGTGCATTCTAAGCTCTGTGCAACTTACGTTGACGTTTCATTACAAGGTTCATTAATAACAGTATCAGTGATCGCAAGTCAATCAAATTAGCTAGAACTCGTACGGTTGCAAGATAGTGGTAGCTGGTCACTAGGTTCATGACTGGCTTCAGATTACATTGAGTGCTGCAAAAAATCACTTTCCATATAAGCACATCGAGATTGAGTGTTAAGCATCTTAGCTAGGTTTGAAGCCCTTTGATTCAGAACTGTCTTTTTCTCTGGACTCTATTTGGAGAAACATTTTCCCATATATCTTCTCATACTCGTAAAGTCTAACTTGTTGCTCATCTCCAGCTGGTTGACATGCCTACCACGACTTCATCCATTCATGGAGATGAATCAGGGATGATAAGTGCTCAAAGTAGTGTTGTCTCGGTTATTTGGGCCTCGAGCATGCTTCGCCGAGAAGTGTGAGTATTTTTGAGGGGTGTGCAGCCATGATAATACGTGTTTTTGGAGCTCTTATCTTCTCGCACAGTGGTAGTGAGAAAACAATACGCTTTGCTCAATTACTTACGATTTTCAAGTAGAGAATCCAAAATTTCTACTCTGAGGGTTTGAAGGAAACTTCTGACGTATCTTCTATAATAGAAACAGGTCGAGATGCGAGAGCCCATGAGTTCTCTGCCGGTTTGAGGTAATCGCCATTCGAAATTACCGATTTGAGAGAACTGAATATCCATACAAAGTTTGGCCCTGTAACGGGAGAGGCAAGGAGGAAATGAGTCACAGCTGGCCTCAGTTGTGACATATTTGAGAAGATACAAAAAGCATATGTCTGTTGAATGAAATTGTGAGGGTAGATTTGTGCTTGAAAAATTTAATTGGCATCTATCCATTTAATTCATCTTCCACGAAGAGAATTCCACTGTCAGATTTAAGACAGCAGGTAAGCAAAGTTATAGTCGTAGGTAGAAAGTTTGAAATAGGTTCAGTGTTTCTATTGATGTTCACAAATGGCAAGCAAGTGACAGACTCTTTAGTGGATTGTACACGTGACTTTGATGGAAATTGAGCATTTCCTTAGAGAAACAGTACTTTTTGTTAAAAGTCAAGAGAGATGATCCTAAAAAATATCAGAGCTATACCTGTCTTTGAGTTGAAGAATGGTCAAGAAACGTTTCGCAACTTTGTCACACACGAAATTCATCTCAAGTTCTTACTTGCTTGCCTCCTCTCTAGAATCCACAGCCTTGCCGTCTACAAAAGTAAAACTAAGAATTGGTCTCATCTCTCCCTACTATAATTTCTGTCTTTTGAAGCAAGGTTGCATATTCTAGTGCCTTTGGACCTGCAGAGGTTGAATCTAAGTACTTAAGTTGAATGAAAGTACGAGAAGTACGCATTCATGTTTCTCTCTTATTCGTCTTGCCAGACTGAAGCCTGTCCTACGTTCGTGTATTCAATCCTTGAGGGTACATTCACTCAGCTTGGGTAGTAGCCCACTTGGAAATTGCTGCGTCTGTATGATGATATCGGTATGACTGACATCTCCTTGCAACTCTCAAGGAGCGCAGCAGATTGAACTTCTGTATCAAGCCAGTCTTCATATATATCCAGTTTATATGGCGTAATCCTTCATGGGAAAAACTGGGCTTCGTCCCATATGTCCAGCGGAACCGAACACAAACTGGATATATATGAGACTCAAACTTGTGTGTACCTGCCTTTGTGGTCTATTCTTCAAAGCAATCAAACCAGGAAACTATACTTCTATATGCATTTCGTTTGAAAGCTTTTGGATGCACAATTTTTCAATACCTTAAATATCTGCAAGTCAAGGAGATGAGACGTCTGCAAACTCTTCTTTCTTGACTCCATTTGTTCTCTTACACGCAACCCCAGTCCTATCTCAAACAAACTATGCTCACACTGTTGTCATTTGAGACCTACAGTTTCAATCAACTTCTAAGTTATTCCTTCTTGCCAGTCACCAATCTTTGAGTGACATGATTTCGATACATGCTAAAACATGTTGAGTTCCTTTTTGAAGATAGTAAGTGCTACCTCATATTCAGTACATGCTTTAAACAGTTTGGTGCTTAGTAGCATGCGAACGCTGTCATAGTGATAGTAGTTGTATTTGATCACACTGTTGGATCAACGGGCTTAAATCTAGCAGCTCATTGTCAGGAGACTTGGCTCAGTCTGTATAGTACTTCATAAGGCAGACTTACTTTCTAGCTCTGATTTCTCACATATACTCACCCTGGAGCTTTCCAACACACGCTAGAGAACTTGGTGCAGTTGTGTGATCATTGCGTGAACATTTTCGAGCACCATGCCTTCGTAATTATGCGTTCAACATGCATCATGGAATTCTGCCTTCCACGCAGCACTCGTTCCAACAGCTTCTGTAACCACTCCCGGGAGGGGGTCTGGAAGTGGACTATATTCAGCAATGGACATCTTATGACTCAGATTGGGAGGGTGTTATGATGCCCATCTAATATGGCCATCAATTCGTTGTCAGTACGTGATACTTGTCCGCGATCCAATCAAATTACGTTGTATGTTGTTCCTGGTGCATGAGAAATCTCGTCTACAATACTTTGTCAATTCGGGAGTGGCCTGATGAGACTGGAGCATAACAATTACTAGTTTGCAAATCCATCCCACTGCAGATGAAGAATCTACTCTGACTGACCTTACATCCTTCGATGGTACCATTGTCCAATGAGTGAACCATTTTCAAGCGTCACGTCTCAAAGGAGATAATCCTCAGTTAACGCTTGGAAATGACAGCCTCCAGATTCATCCTTGAGAAGGAAAGGCTAGGCTTGAGTGTCCTCCTTCTGACCATCTTAGTCAGACCTTGTGACGATCCGAGCAAGAAGACGGATTCCACGGCGTCAGCGAGGGCACTCAGTATTTATATTCACTGAAAAGTCGTGGACGGTTCGAACTTTAGGCTGCACTCAATAGATGTACCGTCAGAAGTGCAGAAGGATTTTTCTCTGACTGAAACAACTTCAGTTGCAAGTCGTATCTCATATAAAAGTTCTGGTAAGCTTTCGTACGAGGAACCACGTTCTGCTACACATTCCGTCGTCTGCGTGTTTTCTCTAATCTTGCGGCCTTTCTTCTCGTCCATAATCATATTCGTGGCAGCTTGAATCGAAGTTAACGAAATTACCACCAACGCTACTTCTGCCATGTCCGCCAGGAACCTACGGCCAACATCTCGCACGTGAGTTACGATCTGGGCCTGCTTCTAAGAAATCTGTTAAATTAGAGAAAGAATGGAAATGATCTACGAGAATACTCACTCCGCATTCATTCCTTGTTTTACGTAAATCGTCGAAGATCTTCCAGCGAGCGAGACTTTGTGAAATGCCTCAAATGATTCTGTGAGCATTCCAGCAGATCTCATGCTCTACTTGAAACTTGTGAAGTGGTTGATATTTGCAGCGCAACTTAGGCCAATATTTCCAATCCGGTTATCGTCCATGATTGGTGACGACGCCACCAATTTCACCACCAAAGTCTTCTCATCTAGGATCGTGATTTCGGACTCAGTCATGCGAGGTACCACCTCCATAGCTCCCAAAAATCTTCGCCGGAAGAAGGGTTCAAATTGCAGACTACGAAACAGAGAAATATATGCGCCAAAGCCACAGCGAGCGGAGGATTAGCCGCTGGTTGATCCAGTTGACTCAAGTTTGCCAAGCCACCACGCCAAGACCCAGCAGGTCCCAACAGGACACCAAATTGCAGCACTCCTCATACATCGAGGGCTGAATATTATCAGCCTTCGATGTAAACTCGCCTCGGCGCTATTGTTGGACAGTAGTAGGGAAACAGGAGCAAGAGTTTCCGGCACTATTTGCATACGTAGAGAATATGGTAGACAACAGACTATTGCTCTGAGACCATTTGCATAGTGAGCTCCCATCCGAGATTCGATCTTGACGGGCGACTAGAATTTGCCACTGACAAATTTGACTTCTCAGGCTCAAGTAATATTATAACTGAGGTAGAAGACGACGCCGTCAGAGAACTCAAAGTTAATCTTTCTGTGATTGACTCGAGAGAAGTGATAGCATTGGTCCCATACGAGGCACCTGAAGTATGGTGAGAGCCAGCGGTCCGACAGATTCCTGAGAAATTATAAAGAATTCTGATGAGAAATCTTACGCGGTGTTCTCATAATAATATTTAGTGACAATCGAGATTTTCGGTTCTGCGAGCTCTGGGAGTCCTTATGCACCAACCGTGACAAAATTATTGCATACAGTATCCTTCACCGATGTCTGTACACAACACTCACAATTGCAAAGGTTGGGGGGGGAGTGGGTTTGTGTCCTTGTTGCACCTCCAGGGTATAGAGTCAACTCACCATTCTTTCTCAATGCACATACGCCCGCAGATTCTGGAAAACAACCAACAATCTCACTTGGCCCATAGCCACAGTCTTCGTAAAGACGACGCTACAGTCTTAAACATGTTCGACGCCTGTAACACGCCAAAAGCTGGGTATTATGAATAGAAGCACTCCGATCGATATGGCGTGCTCAGAATAGCTGAATCCAACGTGAATCTCAGATACACCTTGAGCCAATCATCAGAACGGGAGGCCCACAATGTGGAAGGAAGACACATACATGCACAGCACGAGCTCTTTCTAAGATTGTTTCAGAAACACGCTCCCCGTCGACTTCAACGTTGGCTTCAAGCAAACGGACAGATGATGACTGTCGATTTGGATTAATCCTCGGAAACACAAGACAACACGAATCTGTTGACTCCACCTCAAGCCTGCCTTGCACGACTAGCTGTGAGCCAACTTCAGAGTCTGCTGACTGCTGAATGGGATGCCAATCAACAGCCCAACCTTGTTCTCGCCATTTAACTTCTTCCCGCGGTTCTACACCCACATGTTAAGGACATCCATTGTCTCCATCTTTCTCATGATCATGAACCTGGTATGGGGCTTACCTTCCGTTGCTCCAGACAGCCACAAACTGTCTATCACCCTCGATAGCCCCACGAGCTCTAGACACTGGGCCATGTTTTCACTGGCCGTTAGATCCATGATTCTCGGACGTTTGTTCGTTGTTGTTTTGCGCCTCCACTTTTCTTACACCTTCATTGTGGAGTGTACTTGCTTAGGCCTTTTCCGGGCATGACACCTGTCTTCTCTATTAGAAAACGTACAATTGAGAAATGATCATTTTTTCCCTACTTTTTTCGATTTTAAAGAATGAGTTGATTTATCTCCTTTCAATTTTCACTACATGTTTAGAAAGAAAATAAGTATACACATCTATATAATTTTTAAAGAAATTTAATTGTCTCGTCATTTAATAATCGTTAATAATAATAAATAGTCCCCTAATGGAATCATGAACTTAACTTCATGATAACCTCAGATTTGAATCCAAATTTAGAAAGAGATCAATGATAAATTTGTAGCATCTAAATTTTTTTTATAATACAAACAGTTAAAAAAATATTTCAAGTTAAATATAAGAATAAGCTATATATTGAAAAAATTATCGGAAGATGTTTTAAAGCAATTTTTTCCAATATGTTTTTCGAAATATAGTGTAGATTCTGAAAACGAATTTGCAATTCCTGAAAGTTTTTTCAAAAAATGATTTTGAGTATGGTACTTCAGTTAGATTATAATAAGCGGTTAGTGTTTGCTAAAACCTCTACGATTTATGATAATTCTAAGTCAAACATCATTTTCAAAGAAACTTTGTCTTCAATATGACATATTAAAAGATTTAAAAGTCTTGCAATTTAAGGAATTTTATGGAAAACAATCATAAGCAATTTCATTCTGTTTATAACTTGTTATGTATTTCGAATAAGTTTTAAGAGTAACACATTTGTAGGCAAAATTTTAAAATGTAAAGTTTCCAAATCGAAGAAAAACGCTATAATTTTGTAACCCAAGAGTAGTGATTAAAAAGAGATTTTTTTAATATATCTCATACTTTTATAAAGATATAATTTTTTGAACAGCTATCCGGCTGAATATTTCACCTGCTATTTGATAAAAGAATTGAAGAATTACTAATAAATACGACCTAAGATTTTGTGTAAGAGTTAAAATCTTGCATCTTAAAAATATGATAGGAATATGTTCTTTTGTTATGTACATGAGCTACTCTAACTTCAATTGTCTATAAGATTAAATTATTTGAAAGCACATATTTTATTTTGAATTGTTCTTTTAGTCGGAATTTACTAGTTCAGGATAAACAATTATAACTTAAAAAGGTATTTTTTACAAAAAAATTTGGAAAACTTGCAATGTGTGGCTTTATCTCCTCTTGGAAATTTTATATCTATATACTACGTTTGGAAGAGTAACTTTTATTTAGTCAACTTTAGACATTTTGGAAAACCAATGATAGCAAATATAGAAGAATTTTTGTTTATTAAGATTGAAAAAATATCTTGAAAAAATTAATATAATGAAATAAACTTGGGATCAATTGAGTACTTCTTGAACTTATCATATGATGTGAAAAAACGGTTTGATATTGTTTAACAATAACTATACAAAAGGAAATTTAAATGATAAAGAAGATTATGAAAGTAAAGATTTCATGGAAAAATAACGTCTTGTCATTAATTTTCATGCAAATATACTTTTCGTAAGATTTCTCATGGCTACCAATAAAAGTTTTCATTTTAATCTCTTAAAAAAGCTAAAAATTTCAGACAGTCATGGGTCCTTTGGGCAATCTTGCATTCGTGTCTTTGTCAGTTATTTCGGTCCAATTGGGCCTATCGAAAACAATGTAGAGCATGCCAACTTGTTATCCACTAGAAACCCCTACGACGTAGCAAGATTATATCTACGATGACTAAACGACATGAATGGCTTGCAAGCTTCATGAAACAAAGTGAAAACTACACATTATGAGGTATTAACGTGTCACAAGCTCAGAAGATTGTGCACATTAAACGAAGCTTTCTAAACTAGAAAAGAACAATTTTAGTATTCTCTCACTCCTTGGAAGATTGAGGCTATGTATATTTTTTGAAGCTTTGTGTGAAGTCTAAAATAGTATAACAGGCCTGAGAGGTTGTCAACCTCAAAGATTGATATATGATATTCGTCAATCTAGTAGCACTTTTTCGAGATTGATAAGTTTATAATCAATATAAGTTTATCTAGATTTTAACTTTCAACTCCGTGCGAGTGAGCACAATAAAGAATCTCGTTTTTCTCGTGATATTCGTCAACGAACTAGAACTTTTTCGAGATTGAGAACAATTCACGTGTGAGTGAGGAAAGAGGTTGCAAGACAGTTGAAGCAAAATATGAAACTGAAAATGTAAATGCAGTTTTTTTTTCCTTCCAATATTATTTTATAAATATGTATCTCTTGTTAACCATCAAAAACTTCTTCCACTATCATTTTGTCTAGAAGCATGCGAAAAGGGCAGGGCAAGCGCTGCAGATTTAGGATTTAAAACATTTTACGAATCAAAACAGGGCATCGATCTAAAACACTCGCTCCGACAGCAATACAACAGAGGCGAGGAAGGAGTACTTTGGACGGTTTCCGGACTGGGCCCGGGCTTCTAGACTCGATGTAGGTGGAGAGAGAGAGGGAGAGAGAGGCCCGTTGCGAAGCTTTGGCCGTAGACCGTGCGAGCGCATCAGAATGTCACCGTCCATGCTCTCGGTGCTCCATTGCCTGATGGCGATGGCTGGTGTTGGTGCCCGACCCTTCTTCCACATCATCACTGGTCACGGTCTGCGACAGCAGATGTCGCTCGCTGGGCCGAGAAATTTTCTTTACTCGCAATTAGAATTCGTCCATCGCTTTCTGGAGCTATGGGTCTACATCCAAGCAGTAGAATGCAGAGAGTCCTGACCAAATTTGACTCTGCGGACTCTCTCTTCGAAGGCCCTGCAAGTCCTCTGATCGTAGATAGGAGAGTAGCTCATGCAATTAAAGGACCTGCTTCCCCAGTCGTCGTCAGAATGTCGAGCAACAAAACCTCGTTCACCGAAGAGCTTCTGGTGCACAATTCTGATCAGTGAGTGGTTCATGAGCTTGGCTTCTCTCGGTGGTCTGATCGGTGAGCCACAGATTACTTACTCGCTGCAGACATGGATCTCCGTACACGAACTCCGCATGCTCTGCTCGTTCCTGCCCTGTGGCCGGGTCATTTCACACCATTTCTTCCCATCATGCGTAAGTTAGTTGAGCACAATATCAGTTTCACAATCTGCACTACTCAGAAGCGTGTGGACGAGTTGAGAGAGTACGAGGCGGATGGACAATTTGGAAGCGTTACCACCGAGTTCCTGGCAATTTTCAGAGAAGACAGTCCTCTTTTACGAGATTCGGAGCAGTTGCCGGAACATGACCTCCAAAAGCAGTTTCAGGCTCATCTGGATCAGCTCGATAGTAGCAAGTACACGTGCTTAATCGCTGACATGTTCTTGGGTTTTACGAAGGTAACGTCATCTTGCAAGTAACTGGTGTCAGGTATCCGCAATAGTGTCTGTACAATCCATGGATGAATTCTCTCTGAAGATCATTCAATTCAGCGTCATGAGCTTGATTCCTTACGAGGATAGACTGCGAGATGAATCTGCGAACCGATCCATGTGGTCAATCTTCTCCGTAAAATTCCTGCATATTTTGCTGCTCGCGAGTTGCTCTTGGTCAGTCCGAAATTCTTGTCACCCTACCACCGAGCTGCGAGCAGTACGGTATAGACTCGCATTTTCGTATCGTATAAGATCCTGTCCAATTCGTTATGCCAACGTAGGTCAGAGTCACCCGCTTTGCCAGGCCGAACTAATATGATCCTTGGCACAGAATTTGAGAATTGCTGATAGGGGACCGAGTTTCAATAAATCATGATTATATCTGAATGAACTGCTAAACTTGGCCTTTAACAGGAACTGGCGGATAAGTGGGACGTGCCATGGTACATGATGATTTCAACAAACACCTCTTTTGCCCTCCTGATGCTGCAAGGGCAAGCTGCCGTCGAGGGCGGATGGCATCCCAACGATCCAGTGAAGAAGAACCGAAGTGTCGAGCTGAGAGGATTGGAAATTTTCAGAGCGGGTGAATTGCCCGACGGTTTGAGTGACGATCCTGACTCGTACTGCTTCCATGCGATCGGAACAAGGACTGCTGCAGGACTACTCATCAACACTTTTGAAAGTCTGGAGAAACAGCAGCTGGACACACTCCGTAGTCAGCTCCAGGTCATGGCACTGGATGGCAAGGTATGGACCTCACGGCCAGGTCCACGCTCCTTCAATGTGCTATGAACAATCGTTCCAGAGAAGCAGTATTTGCTTTACGTGCGCGTAGATGATGTGCTATGTTCTGCACGTAGACTGAAGACGTGGTCAATCGACTTACACATACTGTACGTCTGTGACTTGCCAAATCGCTGTTCATTACAGGTTCCCAAAGTCCTGCCGATTGGTCCTTTGCTACTCCTTCCAAGCTTCTCTCAGAACAGAAGAAGAAAGCAGAATTCATCCGAGATGGACCCAGCCATTCAGTGGCTTGACTCACGGTCAGAGTCCTCTGTGCTCTATATTTGTTTCGGCAGCTATAGGGACATACCTACGTATTATATTCGGGAGCTGGAGCGCGGTCTCCTGTTAGTCGATATTCCTTTTCTCTGGGCTCAGCGACTTCCTCCCAATATTCTGAAAGCCGATGTCTTCTCTCCCGATTTCGAATCCCGAACGAAGGATCGAGGCCTACTCGTAACAGATTGGGTGCCGCAGCGGGAAATTCTGGATCATCCTTCCACGGGTGGGTTCCTGTCCCATTGTGGCTGGAACTCAATATTGGAGAGCGTTCTTTCAGCCGTTCCCATCATGGCATGCCCCTTGTATGCGGAACAAGCCATGAATTCAAGGTGAGAGCAACTTGTACTCTGTTCTCTGCTAGCCGAGGCTGTTGAAACTTATCGTCTGGACATCTTTATCTGGTTAGTGAGCTTAAGGTTCAACGTCCTCTGCAGGTTCATTGTGGATGTCTTGGAAATGGCTGTGGAGGTGAACCGTTCGGATGAGCTCACTGGGGAGGAGGTTGCAGCTGCAGCAGTTACTATCATGACAGGTGAACGAGGTTCTCAAATTAGACAGAGGATGTTAAAGTCGAAGAACGCAGGACACGAAGCTGTGGCTGAGGGTGGGAGTTCTCATCGATACTTTGAAGAATTCTTGGCCGATATTTCAATGAGATAATCTGAGACTCTGGAATATTTTTTTCATCAGAAGATATCACTCTGTCACCAGCTTCCAGGCCCACCAACTTCATCATTTTCTTACTCTGTCGAAGGCAATCGACAACATGGTGGCAAAGTATTTCGGTTAGCGAAAGTCTCATTCGTGCTCTGATCGTGCAGGCTTTCACGTGTATAGAGGACTCGTTCCACTGTAAGCATTTCACAAAAACATCTCCTAGGTTATAGTGGACAGGAATTAGGAGAGCTTCTCAGCAGATACTCTTACCCATGAGACACTGTTCAAGCTAATCCTAGGATAAGCTTGAGCAACTAATCAAGCTGAAACATTTGAAACAAAAATGAGCGTTTTGATTATTGTACAGTGGATTAGTCTCACCCATCTGTAAAATGCTTTTTTTTACAGACTTTTATAAATGTCAGAGCATCACCTGCCTTCGCAATCAACAAGATTGATAACTTGGGTCTGGTTACAATGCTTTCTCCTGAACGTTCAACTATATTCTGAGTTGTATACAAATTGCTTATAACGATGGTAACTAAAACACCACCACAGCTGAATATGCCGCGGCTTATCGCTTGGGGGTAGACACAATGCTCAAATGCATTATATGAATATATCAACGAAGAACTAGAATTGCATAGCAGTATTATTATTGCAGTATACATCATCTGTAGTCTGATGACTATTACATTTACATCGCTCACCGTGGATCATATATTGTCTCCCCATCAAATCTAGGTTTTGAGCTTAAATTGATGAAGGGACTTATTAGATTGAATTGCTGAAACCCACCAGCTCAAAGGCAATCTTATGTCTTAGACGGTTTTTGGAGCAAACAAATCCTGGACTTGGTGAACTGACTTATAACCTGTAGGGGACTCCGTCCTCACATCCTCTATATTTCTGCACAATTTTATGAAAAAGCTGCAAACAAATTATTCGTTCGACAAACTGCCATCTTTCCACGGTCTAGATTACAGAACCAGAAGATCTTCAAGATCAACTCGCATTGACTAAGTGCGCAGAAACGTACCAGAGTTCGCTAGTCCGGCCCATTCGTTCCGTCGTTGTAATTAAAGAGCTCCACCAAGGTGCCTCATTGATTCTTTTCAGGATGGTGGTAACGTACCTGACATGCACACGTGCAGCTAAAGCCACAAGCATACACTTTGCAACCGTCATGAGACTGACTATCGAGCTACCGTGCCAGGCCACTGTAATTACGGATGCTTCTACGGGACGGCTCTCGAGGTACACGTTTACAGCAAGGAAGAGCTTTCTAAGGATGTACCAATCAGCTTGAAACGTCTGCGAATTTGCCGGAGCATGCACCAGAAATGTAGGCATAGATATAGATCGGAAAGTTGTCGATAGGATTTACGATAATTTAGTACTAATTTAGTGCAGGCCGCAGAGTCTTCTGTGGAAAACTCTGCACCCTGCAGATTCACTGAAGACTCTGCTTTTTCTCCAAGTCATGCCAGAATGCTGGACCTTTGCATTCGCAAGATTGGTTGACTTCGACATCTGATCGCCGGTTTCGATGTTTACGACATTCTTCAAACTGAAACCTGTGAATGGGAGTTTAGGTCGCACGAACAAGTTCCTGTGAAAGCGCGATCCCATGTCACATCACTCTCGCGATATATTCTCTATATAAAGAATTTCATCTTTCCAAAGCATAGGGACGTCAAGGTTTAAGGGCGTCCACAGCCTCAAGGATGAGATTTTCAACAGACCTAACATCGATTCAGCTGCAGATGAAATGCCCGAAATCAAGAATTATGGTGAACATAATGGAGAGCGAAGAGATGACTATCTGACGTGTCGTTTTCGACCTGCTTTGTAGCTAAAGGTGCACTGAATTTCTATCCTCAACGTACACGACATATATGTCTGACATGTGGATCTGAATTGTGAATGCTTTGGTTATACAACTAGTACAACAAAGCATTTTGGTCACATCAGTATACCTCCAATGCTGTTTCTCGTCAGTGGGATCTGCTCACCTGCATCATGGCTGTTTAGAAGGGCCTGCAGGTAATCTATATTTGCTTGAGGTCTATTCAAATTGCAGCTCGTAGTCCAAAAGTTTATTGCCAAACAGCGAGCCATGGAGAAACAATGGAACCCTTCAATGGAGATATTCATACTTGTACATGCTCTAGATGAGCATTCTTTATCAATCCTCATCAATGAATAAAATGTTTGCTGATTGCAAAGTCAGTGAGGGAACTCCAATCAGTAATCAATATCATTTTTCCAGAATGCTCAGTTTTGTTCAGAGCTTTAACCTCCTACACAAGCTCGTATGTACTCATCATGTCTTCTAGTCAACACGTCATTCCTCCAAAATTGCTTAAGAATATTTTCTGAATCATAAGATAACATATGTAAATGAAACTGTACTTAGATAAAGATGTCAAGGCCAATTATCACACTGTAATCCTACAACGAACCATAATGCACAAAGAACATACAGACGTTGCCCAAGGAAATCAATCACCAGAGTGATCAAATCAAAAGATACATGGGTGCACCCGTTGTGGGAATCTCGATGGATCATCCTCCGACAAGAGTCATCTCCTTACCGAGAAACTCCGATGGGTGAAAGAGATATTTTTTTCTCCGCATGTTAATTTGTGTCACGAATTCACAACCTCAGTCACCATGTACATGTCCATGCCCCTCGAGAGAATCATGAGCAGGCAGTACTCTTACAGCGATTGATGTACTTCACAGGGTTGGATGAAGAAGACATCGTTTCTGGGAATCATGAAAGTGTTCTCGAATTGTGCACCCATATATGTGATCCATCGAGATTCCCACAACAGAATATGTCAAAGGGAGACCCTTTACCTTAAGTGTAGAACCCGGTTTTGTGGTATATATCCACATATGGTACATAATTATCATTTATCATATCTGAAGGGTTGCCAACCTTTCGGTTGATGTATTATGTTCAGCGTATTCCTTCTCATTGGAGGCATATCAGATGCACATGGTTCAAAATTTGTGTAGAAATCTTCGGAGCAAGTCTATGTCGTGGGATCAATTCTTCTGTTGAACTATACCATCAATGGAAGTGGTATATCATAGAAGTAGAATTTATGAGTACTTAGTTTCGAACCATAGGATAATTAAAACTCAATCAAGAGATGTGAGAATGGAAAATGCAATGATCCGTAAAATTAAAAATGTAATGTAGATAGGTACAGTATACACTCGCTTAAGTCTGCATCTCACCTAAGTCTGCATTTTTTTATCAAAATTTTGAGGTTTATTATTAGTTGAACTCAAGCATGGTCAATTGGATACTGTTTTCAGCTCATTCGCGGGCAATGGGGAATCTATAGTGCTATAAAACACGAAGAAGGGTAAAGAGAAACCCATTAGCTTGATTAATCTGCTGCAATGTCAGACACAAGGAACATCTTAGCTCATCCATTTCAACCTCAAGCTTGAAGACACTTATCATTGTCGGAGAAATCACATCAATCTGATCTATATCAAGAGTTTCAGATTCATTCTCCTCGGACTCGAAAATCGGGTCCAAAATAACAATATTCGTTTCATTTTAACTTCTCCAAATAATTTTTTGTGATACATTTGCAAATCCTTGTTATCATCATTTAAACATTTCTCAATCTTACTCCTAACATCAGTTTCACTAGACCCATCAAAAGGTTTACTGTTGCTAAATAATTCAACAATTTCATTAATAGTGACATCATCACAATTAGTATTATTGACGTTGCTAAATACAGGAATAATATCTACTTTTGTAAAGCAATTTTTCAGACTATAAAAAAAAATGTTGTTCCAAGCAAGATTTGCAACATCAAGCAAATGTATATGCTTTCTGTAAATAACCCCAACGTCGTCCTGTTTGAATTTCAAAGCTGCTAACGCAAGGTAGTCTTTAATTTATTCTAGATTTTCATAACATGCGACGATTTCCTTTAGTATAAGATACTTGTATCGCTTTTTTATGCCTGCGATGATAGCCATATTCATCAAAAAAATTTTAGAGGTGACATTGGACGGAAAGAAGTCAACACGAATGTCATTGCGCTCAAAAATAGTAGTATGACCAGGAGCATTATCAAGAAGCAACAACACATTGTGTACTACCGTCGGCAAACATAAGACTCAAAGATTTCATGAAATCACTTATTGAATGTTTGGACATCGATCCAACCAATTTTCTTGTGAAAATGTGAAATGCACAAAGTGTTTTTGGCAATGCAAGCGAGCTGCTTTGCCGTTTCAATCATTGTGATCGGGACTCGTTTTGTTTCACTACCGTTGTAACACACCATCAATGTTATCATGTTTTTTACTCATTTTTTGCTCGGGACAGTGATCATGTCTTTAACAAGCATTAGCACAATATATGGTGGAACGACTCGGAATTACAACTCCATTTCATCCATGTTGTAAACGCATTTGGGATCATATTGAGCAATCAAGAAAGACAAGTCGTTCAAAGCTTTTAAATTCTCTAGATTGTTGACCTCACCATCTTCTTCAAACAAATTAACATTGTTTAAACCTTGTCGATGTCAAATTCTTGCAAACAAGTTCCAAAATGCCTTGAATTAATCACCAGCAATCTTCATTGCAAGCTCGAATTGGTTTTTTTTTACATATAATACTGGGAAGCAAAACAAGCAAAGCTCGACGTTCTGCATCAATACATTCAAGAAACTTCTTCTCACGTCAGGAAATATCAAATGAGAAGCACCAAATGTTGATTCATGAGTGGCTTGATCAACCCTTTGTGCTTGTTCACGTATTTCATCTTTGCTAGATTTTATCTTTTGAATACATTTTTTCATCAACACGAAACTGGTAAGCAACCCTACGCATGGACAGACATTTTGAAGACTCTAATAAATTAACAATTTCCATACAATGAAGATCATGCAGACACTTGCCTTTACCCTTACATTGGAAGTTTGCTGTGCAATCATTGTATGAGACTATCTACAAAATTTCCAAAAATGTACTCAAAATTTGAATCTCCAAAAATATAACTCTCCAAAAATTTCTACAAAATCATAACCTACTTCAGGCCACCTCCCTGAACGTCTCAAGTTACTCCTTCCGGTGGATGACAAAAAAAAACTTGACTGCCTTAAATTAACATCCAAAGTGGTCATGCAAAGCTGCGCAAGAAATTCAGTCTGATTACTTGTGCGTATCTGACAAAAGCAAAGAAACACTAATTTTGATCCTTCATATAGGCATCATTGAAATAGGCCATGTGCACATCATCACACTGATTCGTAGGTAGAAAAAGTATATAGATCATAGCAATAAAAATAAAACTGATTCGCAGTCTCGCGTACTAAGATCTCTACTATACTCACAATTGTTGTAGCTACATTCACAAGTGCTTTAACAAGCGTCACCGGAAGAGTGAAGGAAAGAAGCGTCATCCTAAATCTCCTTCAC